TTTCTTGGCAGGGCATGGTAGCTCATGCCTGTAATTCCAGCACTTTGGAATATGTATATATATATATATATACATATATATATATATATATATATGTATATATATATATATATATATGTATATATATATATATATAGTTTTGTTTTAGAAGAAAATAGATTTACAGAAAAATTTCAAAAAATCATAGGGAGAGTTTCCACATACTTCTCTTGGCTGTGACACTTTCTCAGACTTCCCTTTTCCATGATAACCTTTACAGTTTTGAAGAGCACTGGCTATATATTTTGTGGAATTTCCCTCAATTGGGTTTTGTCCAATTTTTTAAATAATTAAATGAGGGTTATGTGTTGGGAAGAAAGACCACAGAAGTAAAGTGCTATTCTTAAAATTGCATCATTGACGTCATGCCGAGGGTGCAAATAACCATGAGTTATCCCTGTTGAGACTAACCGTGGTCTTCTGCTGAGGCAGTGTCTTGCAAGCTTCTCCACTGTAAAGCTGGCTTTTCCCTGTCTTTCCGTACTCTACTCTTGGGAATGAAGCTGCTCTATACAGCCCAGCCTTGACAAGAGTGCTGATGGTTATGCTCCCAGTCTTTGAGGGCAGAATTCACCCATAAACTATTTGGAATCCTTCTGACTGGGAAATGGTTTTTATTCTCACCATTTACTCATTGCATCATGTTTTATATTGGTATGGGCACGTGGATATTTACATTGTGGGCTACAATAAAAGGCACTTTATTTTGTTGCTCAAATTGTCCCAACTCTAGCCATTGACATTTCTTTTAGTTAGTTCCTGTGTTGCTTCAATATCACCACACTTTACATTGTTCTCTAAATTTTTGAACACTTTCTTTCATGCCCTGCTTGAGGCCCCAAGCTCATTTTATGTATCTCCTTACCTGGTCCTGTAATCAGACATTTCCCCAAGAAATCATTGTTCATTTTATGGGAGAATGACATTAGAAAGCGAACATTGGGCACTAGGTGTGTTCCTTGTTGTTAATATCATTGTTTCTAGGCCTCTGGACTGACAGAGCATGTAAATCTATATGTGTATACTAACCTGTGCATATATGCATATACATAAATATTTTAGATTTATTTGTATTTGTATTAAGATAAGCATGAATATATGCTGATGTCTCCAACTCTAATCCATTACTACGCAAATCACTCTATTCTCTTTCCCTTCATTTTCTGTCACCGCTCATGCCAACATTGAGAAACCTGCATCTCGGCATCTTCCATTTGCTTATTTCTTCAATTTACACCCTATACAGTGTGATTATAATTTTAAACCAGCACCTCATACAGAAGATACATTTATTAACTAAGGTATACTATGTATGGATAGTTTCTTTTGCCTATAGACTCACAGATTCCACTAATTTTCAACTTCCACCCCATTCAATGAGGTGGTTTCATGCATTTTTAATACAGTTCTTTCCCCACGTTCTGCATTTCTTCTTCGGTTTCTCCAAATCTTTACATGATTTTTAGCATTTTTATACATGAACATTAATTCTTTGTGCTGTTGAGTTCTGCAGATTTTGACAAATGCATGGTGTTACATAGACATGATTACAATATCATGCAGAATAACTTTGTGGCCATAAAATATTGTCTGTGCTTCAACCATCTCCTTCTTTTTCAAACTCTAGCAACCACTGACATTTTTTTTTTTTTGAGATGGAGTTTCGCTCTTGTTACCCAGGCTGGAGTGCAATGGCACGATCTCGGCTCACCGCAACCTCCGCCTCCTGGGTTCAGGCAATTCTCCTACCTCAGCCTCCTGAGTAGCTGGGATTACAGGCATGCGCTACCGTGCCCAGCTAATTTTTTTGTGTTTTTAGTAGAGACGGGGTTTCACCTTGTTGACCAGGATGGTCTCGATCTCTTGACCTCGTGATCCACCTGCCTCGGCCCCCCAAAGTGCTGGGATTACAGCCGTGAGCCACTGCGCCCGGCCCACCACTGACATTTTTAACTGTCATTATAGTTTTGTCTTTTCCAGAATGTCATATAAATGGAATAATAGAGTTTGTAGTCTATTTTAGACTGGATTCTTTCACTTAGCAATATACATTTTAGATCCACCCCCGTGTTTCAAGATGTTCCATATGTCTGATATCTCATGTGTTCTCTCTGCGGATAATATTCTGCTGCACAGTATGGGTGTACAGCAGCTTATTTCCATTCACCTACTGTATGGTTCCTCCTAGTTTTTTAGCAATTAGGAATAATCATCTAAAAACACTTACATGTTCCTACTAGTTATCAGCAATTATGAATAATCATCTAAAAACACTCACTTTTCCATAGACATAAAACTTCAAACGAGTTGATATTTGCTTGTTTTTATGTGTCAATACCTAGGAATTTGCTGGTTTTTGTATGTTCATGATACATCTTGCTTTGTAAGAAACTGTCGAATTTTCTTCCAAATGGCTGTACTGTTTTGCATTTCCACTGGTAATTAACAAGAGCTTCCTGCCGCTTTGTATCTTTTTCAGGAATTGCTCTGTGTATTGGTTCCTCAGAACTACTATAATGCAGTACTACAGACTGCATGGCTTAGAACAGCAGCGATTTACCTGCTGAGAGTTCTGGGGGCCAGGTGTTTGACCTGGAGATGTCAGCAGAACCATGCTCCTTCTGAAGGCATTAGAGAGAACCTACGCCATGCTTCTCTCCCAGTTGCAGGTAGCTTCGGGCATCCCTTTGCTTGCAGATGCGTGACTCCAGTTCTGGCTCCATCATACGCTTCCTGGTCATTGGCATGTCTTCCTTAATGAAGCATCCGTTTAGATTGCTTGACCATGTTTTCACTAGTTTTTGCCTTTTTGGGGGGTGGGGGGTGGGGAAAGGAATGAATTAATGGCATTCACAGCAACCTGCATGGAATGAGAGACTATTATTCTAAATGAAGTAACTCAGGAATGGAAAGCCAGACTCTTATGTTCTCACTCATAAGTGGGAGCTAAGCTATGAGGATGCAAAGGCATAAGAATGATTCAATGGATTTTGGGGACTCAGGGGAAAGGATGGGAAGGGGGTGAGGGATAAAAGATGACAAACGGGTTCAGTACATACTGCTCAGGTGATGAGTGTATCAAAATCTCACAGATCACCACTAAAGAACTTACTCATGTAACCAAATACCACCTGTTCCCCAAAAACCTATGGAAATAAAACATTTTAAAAATATTTAAATGCCCCACATATATATATTCAATGAGGATTTTCTAATATTTTGCATCCCAGTCTGTGACTTGTCTTTTTATTTTCTAAACAGTGTCGTGTGCAGAAGTTTCTAGTCTTAGTGATGTCTAACTAATTATTTTTTGTCTTTCATAGCTTGTGATTTTGGTGTTGTAACTATGAACTCAAAGCAACCTAGATTTTCTTCTATGTTACCAGTCTCTACAAAAAATTAAAAATGTGTATTTAATATTAAGGTTTACAATAATTTTGAGCTGATATTTATTAAAAGTGTAAGGTCTGTGTCTGGATTTATCTTTTGCGTATTTATGTCCAGTTATTCCAGCATCATGTGTTGGAAACACTATCCTTCTCAATAGAACTGCATCTTTATTTTAGTCACAGATCAATGCACTACGTTTATGTGGGTCTATTTCTGGGCTTTCCTTTCTGTTCCATTATCTATTTCTCTATTATTATTATTATTTTTTGCTAATACTACTTGATTACTTCAGCTATATAAATCTTGAAGTCAGGTTGTGTTAGTTCTCTGACTGTTCTTTTTCAATATTGTATTGACTATTGTATTGAGGTTTTTTTTTTTTTTCTTTTCATATTAACTTTAGAAAGAATTGGGCTGGGTGTGTTGGCTCATGCCTGTAATCCCAGCACTTTGGGAGGCAAGGCAGGTGGATCACGAGGTCAGGAGATGGAGACCATCCTGGCTAACATGGTGAAACCCTGTCTCTACTACAAATACAAAAAAAAAAAAAAAAATAGCCAAATATGTTGGCACATGCCTGTAGTCCCAGCTACTCAGGAGACTGAGGCATCAAAATCCTTTGAACCCAGGGGGCAGAGGTTCCAGTGAGCTGAGATTGTGCCACTGAACTCCAGTCTGGGTGACAGAGCAAGACTCCATCTCAAAAAAGGAGAGAAAGAAAGAAAAAAAGAAAGAAAGGAGAAAGAAAGAAAAAAGGAAAGAAAGAAGAAAGAAAGAAAAAGAAAGAAAGAAAAAATTTGTCAATATCCACAAAAAAGCTTAATATTATTTTGACTGAAATTGAAAGGAATCTGTAGATCAAATTCAGAACTACATTTTAACCATATTTTCTTTCTATCCATGAACACAGATAATATCTTCATTTAGTTAATTCTTTAGTTTCTTTCATCTGAGCTTTATAGTTTTCTCATATTAATCCTTTACTTATTACATTAGATTTACACCTAAATATTTCATTTCTTGGTGCTAGTGTCAATAATAGGTTTTTCACTTCAAAATCCAAGTTTTCATCACTGGTACCTAGAACTGCAGCGGAAATAACCTATGAGCTTTGTATCCTGCAGCTTCATTATAATCGCTGTAAATTCCAAGAGTGTTTTGTTGTGGATTCTTTGGGATTTTTCTTTATAGACAACAATGTCACCTTTGGGAGAATATACAGTTTTAAAATCTTATTTTTTCCTCCAAATCTTTACACCTTTAAAAACCTTTCATTATCTTATTACCTTAGTCCTTCAAGTACAATGTGGAGTGGATGTGTGAGAAGGGGCATCTTTGTCTTATTCCTGATCTTAGGGGGCTGGCATGGAAGTAATGTCTTTCCCACATCAGGAATGATCCCTGGCAAATTATTTTTCCTTGAAGATAATTTATTTGTTGTGGAGAACTCCCTGGAAATATGTCGCAATGATTATTCTTCCTTACCTGCTGCCAGGGCCATTAGAAGATTTTTTCTCTGACTTTCACCATAAGAATCTAGAGGGATTCCTGGAAGTAAAATTTATGAAAGGATGCATCCAGCCCCACATAGTGCACCCCAGTCTCTGACTCACACAATCCACGCTCAACCACCAGAATTGCCGCTTAATTCTTCATCCTGGTTAATGGCACCTAGAGTCTTCTGCTCAAGGTAAGCAGATCTCAGCTGTGGCTCTCTTCATTCACCTCCCTCTCCAGACTTTAGGGTGGAGGTCACCTTGAAACCTCAGATCTCATGGGTTAGAGAAAAGTTACTGGTACTAACTTCATTCACCTTTTACTTTTTGTAAGAATGGAGTAAAGACTTCGAGGTTCTTTACATGTCACAGCTGAAACTAGAAGTTTATATATTGTTTTGAATGCTGATAGCAATATACTAACTCAGTTTCGTGACCCACTAATAGGTCTTGACCCACAACATAAAAGTAGAAAAAGTCTCAAGAAACTTCCCTGCTTTTGCCTCCTGCACAGAGGTCTCTACCTCACAGTCTGAGTCCTTTATTGATTGAGAAAAAGAATGATCAAGATTGGGATAGTACACGCTTTGCAGTTAAGATTCTACCTGCCTGGAGCTGTCATCCTGTGGTTATAAATTCGATTGCTCAAATATCATTATTTGAGATAGATATATCTTTTAAAACCATAGTCAGTATATTTCGAACCTCTCACAAAACAATCAAATTTGAGGTCTCAACTGGCTAAAGGAAAGAAAAGTTGCAAATCATTAACCATCTTCCTTGTAGAGTCAAGAACATCAGCCTATTCAAAATCCTCCTTGGGATTTCAGGGGTTTTGGATTTTACAATCCTTTGCATTTTAGTCTATTTATAAACATAGACTTCAACTGCTCTTTCGAGAGCTGAATCTCAGAAAATGTGGTGCCAGCAGACTCCATTAAGCTTACTAGATGGAAAGTCAGCTGCAATAAAGTAAGAACTATTTATTGATTTATTTTTAAGTTGTAAAAGCAAGAAATATTCATTGTCAAAAATGTTTAATAGGGTGTCCAAGAAAGCAAATATACTCTGCCCATCCTAGCACTGTTAACACTTTGTGATCATTTTTTTTGGTGACTTTTTCTGTGCATGTCTATTTCCGAAGTGGATTTATATTATATGGTGAACAACATGAAACACAATTTGGGCTGATATAAATTTAACTCTTATGTTCCCCGTTGAGAAAGGGGGGAGAGAGAAACATTTCCTATGAGAAGTGATTCTATTCTTTCTTCCACTCAATGAGTGCCTCAGAGTGTGATGAGGGTTGAGGTGTGAATCTCATGTTCCTTCACGTGGCATGAATTCCTGAAAGCCTCTCAGAGTGTGAGCTGTCCGTGACATTAAGCACTTTCCCGTGTGCTGAAGGAAATGAAAACACTTGACCATATGCAACTTCCATTTTTCACCTTGTAAACTTTTGAAGGGAGGATATTCAACTTCCATCACATTTTGCTTAGTTCTGTTTCACTTTCCTGGAGAGAACTTCTTCCCCATTTATGCTGAGGATAGTAAGGGCCACTTCGCATCTTTTTCTCCTTGCATCCCTCATCCCTGCCCTTGGAAAGAGTGACTGACATGACAGGAAAGCTTGGGATCAGGAACCAAGCATGTTTAGTGCAGACATGCATCACCTTCTTTTCAGAGTCATGGTCTTCTCCCCGGCTCTATGGGGAAGAGTATGGTCATGGCCTGTGCCTGACAGGAGAGGCCAGAGTTCTGATGGGAGGTCCACTTAGGATACCTGACTGGATGCATAGGTCAGGCACAGCCTCTGTTAGAATCCTACCATTAATAAGTCAGATAGACTTGTCTTTATCTCCTTGGTTCCTGCGTCGATCTCCCTATGGTAGGTGGTGTCTACCACCCATAAGGATTGCTAGTTATCTTCTATTTGCCTTCAAGATCAATTTTCTACCCTCTTCAACCTGCTTGTACAGAGAAGGTGCCCTGTGTGGATGGTATCATGGACTTCCTTATCCTCTGGCTTCCCGATGGGTTTGGCCCAAGAGAGACATCTCGAGGAGATTGGTGATTAAGAAGATCAAGGTTGGATGTCACTTTCCCTAGTTCTCTCCCTTTAGGTCTCTGGAGATATTCTGTGTCTTCTTACCAAATGTCATGACTTCTTTCAAACAGCCCTCCTTTCCTGGTTGTAGAAAGTTTTCTACAACCCCCTTTCCTGGTTCTATAAACCATTCCCTTCCTTTTCTCTTGAGGAACAGGAGATATTTCCTTTCCATTCTCACTAGCCCCTGATCTGCTATACTTATTGCACTATATTAAATACTTATTCTGCCTTTAAAATGATCTCTTTGTCTTCAAGTTACCCAATTCGATCATGCATTTGTTTCCTCCTGGGAACCTCCCTGGTAAGACCTTAGAGGAAGGTTATTTTATACCCCTCGTGTGTTTCTGTAATATGGGAGTAGTCCAAGCCTCCAGCCAGCACAAGCCCCAGCCCTGGCATGGAATAGGCCTGGCTGATGGTAGCTCTGGGGTGTCTACATGAAGACCCCAGTTATGCCCCTACTTACCCTTTTTATCTCATTTTGAAGTGCCCTTTTGTTTGCTTTTCATTAGTTACAAAATCTCAAGCAGCCTAAGCTTCTTCCCAGTGCCCAAACTAACCTACCTTCCTCCAAGTATGATTTCAAACTCTATTTCCAGCCAACTTGCCATTATACATGGTTGTTGGCAAGTCCGACACATCATTTTCTTGCAACGTGGGATTCTTTACTGAGCAGGTTAGCACGTGGCAGCTTGTTTTTCTCAGAGCAAGTGAGTGAGAGAGCAGATCTCCAATGATCAAGTCTTGGGATGACTGCAGCCCTGAGCAACAACTTGATTGCAGCCTTGTTGAAGATCTTGAACCAAGGCAACCAGTTAATTGATACAATAACAAATGGTTGTTTTCTTAAACCACGATGATGTTAGGTAATTTTTCATAAATCAATAAAAAAATTAATACGTTAGTCCCTGGAAGTGAGATTCCAACCACAAAGAGTAGAAGAATCTGAGTGTTGCTTGGAATGGAGCAGCTGGCAGAGGCCGAGACAATTTTGAGGAGTGTGTAAGCGAAGGCTTAGGTTGCCGTGAATCGACCATTGCAGTCCTGTGGTTCTGGGCTCTGGGAGTTTAGAAGTAAGTGTAAAACATGTTATTAGAAAGAGGAACAGGAGAATTTTTGTTAGGTTGTGGCAGAAACTTAGCAAAACTGACACCAGCAACAATGTGTGTCAGGTTCAGCCCATAGACCCTGACCCAGTGACAGATGATCAAATGCACTCAAACACACATATCCAGTGAAAGAGTGAGCTAGGGGTCAGTCCCACTCACAGACACTGAAGAAGGTGATCTAAAGAGTCAGCATCCATGGCCCTTACCAGCTGGCATTGTGGGGATTTATTCAATATAGATTTAATGACAGAGGCTTTGAGTCAACACACTTGTGGATAATGAACATGGTCACCGAGAGAGAAGCAGTCCTATGAATGATTAAAGGCCAGGTTCCAAGGCCTAAAGCAAACACCATTTGTGGGTAACAACACTGTTGACACCCGGAGTAGACAGCAGTCATGCGCCTGTGGATGTTCAAAGGTCAGTCTTAGGATCACATGCTATCTAAACAAGCTCTTTAGATAATCTCCCTTACATTCCTTTCTGCCTAATTGCCTCTGGGTAAGAACCACTGCCTTTGGCTCATTCCTTCCCAAGGCTTTTGCAAAAACCTCCCGGCCTTCCATGAGGGTTTGCATCCTTTTCTCTATGATTTTTCTCTTATAATTTCTCCCACCACCCTGAAAACTCCCACAAACGTGGAAAGTAGAAAATGTGCCTAGTCAACTTGGTGATCTAGCTAAGGGGATTCCAAAGCAAAATGTTGAAGGTGCTGCTTCCTGTAAAATGTGTGAAGAAAGAGACAAAATGAGGGAAGAACTTCAAAGAATAATAGCCAGAACTCAGTGATTTTGAGAATTCTTAATCTCTTCTGATTGCAAACATTAATTCTAATTGTTAAAATTAAGCAATCATTCTCAAGCAAAGAAGGAATTGAAAGCACTTTCAGGAAAATATTTTCTTGAGATGAAACTGAGGGTTTCACTATAAGAACATCTGAGAAGACCCAAGTTCATAGGTGGTCCATTAGAGCATTACTTCATCGCACAAAAGGCCCTTTGGAAAGATCTGGAGTCTGCCTATTTCACAAGTGAGCTTCTGTAAAATTTATGAGATTATATTCTATATAAAAGACTTTCATGATGGTAGCTTTTATTCAATGGAGTGAACACCAGTATGGTTCACAGGGGTTCCACAAGAGTTTGAGAAAATCATATTAGCAGAAATACTGCCATTTCGAACATTGAATAAAGTACAGCATTTTTATCCCCAAAATTCACAAACCCATGCTTTCTTTCATGATTTATCCATTCTGGGGTTGGAGCTGGGAGCCGCAGAGAATTGTTCTCAGGTCTTGGGCCCCAGTAGAGAAACTCCCAATATACCTCTGCTTGTATTTCAGAGTTGTTATGGAAGAGTTCCTCTCCTGTGGATCTCAATTTCCTTCCTTTTAAGCAAGAGTGTTAGCAATGATTATTCTATACTTGTTTAAGCTTTGTACATTAGGTGCTTTTTTAGTTAAAAAAGCCTTAAAAGTTGAGAGAAACTACACCCAAATAGCTTTATTTAAGGAATCACCTGTAGGGAGCCATGCATCATCATCTAAGAGAGGTGATGAGATTCTGGGCTTTGAGGTGATGTGGTAATGACATAATGAGATGAGATCTTTGGGGTTCTACATTGTGAAACAAGGTATAAGTAATGAAGTAGCCAAGGTCTAAGCATCACATGAGAGGAGGAGATTTAACATCTGTCATGCCAACTGAAAAATGTAAGAGTTTGTAAGTGTGATTTTTGTGTGTTGCATTTCCATTTTAGGGACGTGAGGAGCAAAACTATAATCATGCTTGAAAGTTGTTATGCCAATTTTGGTTGTGGTTAACATTATTACCGGTTTCAATAACGATGCTAATCCACCTGCTTCATTTCCCACCATCTGTTTAGGCCACCTGACCTCCCAGAAATCCCACACTTGATAACCCAGGATTATCACTATCCTAAGATACTGACACACATTTTGAATTGTTTTCATTAGTTAGAATTCTCATTCAATAAAAATTACTTAACCCAGTTTGCAATAATTACAAACTAGGATGTTGATTTACTGTATAACCAGAGGGTTTGCTAAAAATTGAGTAAGATTTTATAAAAAGCGTTTGACCTACTTGAGTAAACAGACTTTAATATCAATTAGTGATTGCTTTTAATTAGGAAAGCATCTCTATATTCACCAAAGTCAGCATGATCTTCTCAGAACGTCTGTTATGTCTAGGTACCAAGCTTTTTTTTAAAGCATTGTCTTAGAACAGAGGATATTTGAACAGCACTATCAACTTTTATACAAACTTGCATGTATCCTTTTGACACTGAACTTTAAAACAACCACAGCAAGTGACATCATTATTGCTTGTGAGTGAGTGAAGTCTAGCCCAAGAATGCGGAAGTAACAATGTAGGTGTGACAATTTCTACCCAGTTTCCTACAGAATTTCCACTTTGGTAAGAAAGCAACGTTGTGTTTTTTTTTTTTTTTTAACGGAGTCTTGCTCTGTAGCCCAAGGTGGAGTCCAATGGTGCAATCTCGGCTTACTCACCGCAGCCTCTGCCTTCCAGGTTCAAGTGATTCTCCTGCCTCAGCCTCCTGAGTAGCTGGGACTACAGGTGCATGCCACCACGCCCAGCTAATTTTTATAATTTTAGTAGAAACAGGGTTTTACTATATTTTTCAGGGTTTTCTCAAACTCCTGACCTCAGGTGATCTGCCCGCTTCAGCCTCCCAAGGTGCTGGGATTACAGGTGTGAGTCACCATGTCCAGGTTTTTTTTTTTGACAGTCTTTTTCTTTGTTTCTCAGGCTGAAGTGCAGTGGTTTGAGTGAGCTCACGGCAAACTTAACTGCCTTGGCTCAAAAGATCCTGCCTCAGTCTCTCAAGTAGCTGGGACTACAGGCACACAACACACTATGACTGGCTAAGTTTTAAATTCTCTTTTGGTAGAGACAAGGGCTCACTGTATTGACCGGGGTGGTCTTGAACTCTTGGCCCCAAGTGATTCTCCTGCCTTGGCCTTCCAAAGTGCTGGGAATATAGGCACATGTCACCACACTCAGCTATTTATTTTTATTTTTGTAGATTCAGGGTCTCGCTATGTTGCCTAGGTGGGTCTCAAACTCCTGGGTTTCACTGATACACCTCAGCCTCCCAAAATGCTGGGATTATAACCATGAGCCATCTTGCCTGAAAAAGTTTTCTCTGCACATCCCCAAACCTCCAAAGGTGTCTAAACTCTTCAGTCCTCTGTTGACTGCACTTGCCTCTGTCTGAGGCTGCTGGTGAGAAAACATCCACAGGTAACAGGACTGTGGGGCAGGGGACCCTCTCAAGGATAGCTCAGCATTGAGTAGCTTATATGCTGCCACTGAGTTAGGGGCAACTTCTACCCATGGAGCCCTCCCGGCCTCTTCATCGCTTTCCTTCCTATTCTTAGTCTTCCCTCATCCTTGTAACTCCCTGTTCCTCAAGTTCTCCTATTTCCTAGTCTTTGGGATCAAAAAAGCCACTCCATCAACAGGCATCTGGAATTTTCTGTCTCAAATAGATGAATTTTTTGAGTATTCATTTCCTCTTGTCTGTGTGGTGTGGGGTGGGAAAGACGCCTACTGGGATACACGTCAGAGACAGAACAAAAAGGAAATATTCCTAAAAATACACAGATTCCTACTTTAAGACTTAAACCTGGCTCAGGTCCTAGAACCTCATCTGGTTGTGACAGCTGTGCTCCATGTTGTCAGCTGTCATCTAGAGAAGGTTAGTGTCCTCCTCAGCTTGATTGTACCTTATCCAGGCCCACCTGACTCTAAGGTGTTTTCCTCTCACCTGGACCTTGCTTAACCCAGGTGGCCCAACCACAGAGGCCCCTTCCCTCCCTTTTTAGAGAACATTTACTTTAGAAAACATGCAATTGATCATTCTGTTTCTGTTCCTTTGAGATGTAAATGTTTTATCAATTCTCCTGCCAGTTTTATAACCCATAAATATCTTTCTCAAGGACCTGGGAATGATTGATTTGAAATATGATCCTCCAGGAAGATAAAGTCCCAGCTCCCAGTATCTGTGGGAGGAAAGGATTCTGGCTTGGGTAGGAGTCTTGCTTTAAGCTGTAAGGCAGCCGTCAATCACGTGGTCAATGTGTACCTGTAGGCCTCCTAGACCTACCTCTCTCTGGGCTACTATTTCGACCGCGATGATGTAGCTCTGGAAAGCGTGAACCACTTCTTCCGCGAATTGGCCGAGGGGAAGCGCGAGGGCTACGAGCGTCTCCTGAAGATGCAAAACCAGTGTGACAGTCATGCTCTCTTTCAGGACATCAAGAAGCCGGCTCAAGATGAGTGGGATAAAACCCTGGACGCCATGGAAGCCGCCATGACCCTGGAGAAAAATCCGAACCAGGCCCTTTTGGATCTTCATGCCCTAGGTTCTGCCCGCACGGACCCCCATCTCTGTGACTTCCTGGAGAGTCACTTCCTAAATGAGGAAGTGAAAATCATCAAGAAGATGGGTGACCACCTTCTGCAGGCTGGCCGACCCACAGGCTGGGCTGGGCAAGTATCTCTTTGAAAGTCCCACTCTCAAGCACGACTACTGAGCCCGGCCACTTAGGAAGGGCCTTTGCAAAGTAACAGCGCTTCTGCCTAATCCTCTCCCTCCAGCCACTAGGCAGCTTTCTAACTACCCTTACAAGCCTTGGACCAAATAGAAATAAAGCTATTTGAAGCAAAAAAAGAAAAAACTCCTTCCTGTTACAAAGACACGAGAAAGTTTGCTCTTTTTTTTTTTTAATTTTTATTTTTTTGGTATAATCAAAGAGCAAGCACAAGTAACCTGTGTTTCCCCCCTTACTCTCACATTTAAAAATCCTTACAGCGTTTGTTTCAGCTGAGTTGAGCCCAGGCTAAGGTGTGGCCCTTCTCTCCTATTGCACGAGTCAAACATTAAACGAGTCTGCTTAATTTTGCCTAGTGCAAATTGCTTTGTGGATTGTAAGCAACAGAAAGTGGCTCTGGCCTCTGACAATAGGAGTGTGTTCAGGAAGATGTGTAGGCACCAGCGTGTGGTGACATGGTGGGATAGCAGGGCTGGGGATGGTAGGGACCAACCAAGCTCCAGAGATAAAGACAAAGCAAGCAGAAAACGGGGACTATTTTGTCCAGTTTATCATTACAGAGACCGTGTGAACCAATTCTGTTGTCACTACCTCTGCTGCAATGAAAAATGACCGCTGAGTGACCACTCTGGCCTTGAGTCATGTGGGGTTAATCAGTTATTTCATAATCCTTTTTGTGTTTCCACCCCAAATTTTGCATTCTCTGTTTATATTAAATTATGATATTTAATAAATATCATAAATTAAGTGCAAAACAAACCAATCTCAACAAAGTACTATGATCCTGTTGGAACGGAGTGCATTAAATGTGGTTTTGTGAAAGAAAAACAAGAGTTTACCGGCCGGGCACGTAAACTCATGGCTCATGCCTGTAATCCCAGCACTTTGGGAGGCTGAGACGGGTGGGTCACGAGGTCAAGAGATCCAGACCATCCTGGCCGACATGGTGAAACCCTGTCTCTACTATACTTGGGAGGCTGAGGCGGAAGAATCGCTTGAACCCAGGAGGCAGAGGTTGCAGTGAGCCAAGATTGCGCCACTGCACTCCAGCCTGGCGACAGAGCAAGACTCCATCTCAAAAAATGAAAAAGAAAAGAGTTTGCCAAAGAGTGCTGTTTTTGGATAAACTGAGTTTGAGTCCCATATTTTTTAGGAGAGCACACAGGGAGGCGGACTAGTGATGTGGTTTGAAATGTGGCTTCTGTAGCCAAATTGCCTGAGTTTGAATTTCATGTCTTCCAATTACTATTTTCATAAATCTTAACTCCTTCATGTCCGTATTCTCTCACCTTTAAAAGGGAATAATAAAAATCATAACCTCCTAGGGATGCTGTGAGGATTAAGTGGACTTAATACATTCAAAGACAGATCAGAAGATGGGCCGCCTGAGTGTTAGCTCTTTCTGTAATGTGTGAAAACTGAATAAAGGAAATGACTATGTGATGAATTAATTCCATTTGTAATAGAAGCTGAGCATTAGCATGCTAATGTCGGCACTAAATGGTTGGCTTGACGATCTTGAGCCCAGAGTGGAGTGTGGTGGGTAAACCCTCCAGGCTGCAGATTTTCTGCCAAAACCAGACCTTCATGTAGTTAGTGGTCAGGAGGGGACTAGGCTAAATGACAAGAATAGGCATTTGGATATCAATCAGAAAAGTTACACAGAAAAACTAACACAGCGCAAAAGCTGCCAGGGAAGCTGGGCTAAAGGCTGACGCAGGAGAATCACTTGAACCCAGGAGGTGGAGGATGCAGTGAGCTGTGATTGTGCCATTACTCTCCAGCCTGGGCAACACGAGTGAAACTCAGTCTCAAATAAGAAAAAGAATTCCCTGTGGGTAGCTTGACAGAGGACAACTTCAGTGTAGATCTCAGCCTGTTCTGGGCGCTCTTGTGCACTGTGCTGTAGAAGTGATCAATCAATGCTTCTCCTCCTTTTGCACAAAGTAGAAAAGTCTGGCAGGCAAGACCTCACACAGAAGAATGTCCTAGCAGGGAGAGGCAACACAGATTATCGAGATGCTGGTACCTGGTATGAGGGAGGGTCATGGGTTCTAGACACTTCCTAGCATCAATGAGTCTAGTGAAGGAGTTAGAGATGTGGGCTCTGAAGGTAGAATGCCTGCATTTGAATTCCACATCCACCACAAACCAGCAGTGTTTGTGGCACTGCACATTACAGAACCTGCTTTCTTGTCTGTGAAATAGGTATACTAAGAATGCATACCCATAACTGTTTGTAAAGATTTTTTGTCAGAAGAGTTTGAACCAGAGCAACTCCATCCTGAGTGAAGGCTAAGAAAACAAGTCTTGGACTTGCTGGGCTGCATTCCTAGGAAGTTAGGTATTTAGGTATTCCTACCCTCTATATGTATATGGTTAAGGGAACAGATTGATAACATTTACTAAACAGACTCAGACTTGAGAGTCCTGATATCCCGATATCTTGAGAACAGAAACATTCCTAAGTTTGCTTTAAAAATAATAATATCGATTCTTGCAAAATATAGTAATTGAGAAAATTAATCCTTTATCATAACCCCTTGTAGCAAAGCACATCTCCCTATGATCTTTTTAATCCTGTGTGTAAACAAGCGTTGTTCCTGGGGGGGCGCATTCTTCCTCTTCTCAGAATGTCCTGCTCTGTCCGTGGAGTAGCTATTCTTTCACCACTTTGCTTTCTTAATAAACTTGCTTTTGCTTTGCACCGCGGACTCACCCTGAATTCTTATGCGAGATCCAAGAACCATCTCTTGGCATCTGGATCCGGACCACTTTCCTATAACATGATGACTTAACCCAAGTGTTACCTTTAGGATAATGCCCGACTCAGAACAAGTGTCATTGGAAATAGATGCTTGGTGCTGCCAAGAAAAATTAGCACCGAGACAAAGGATCTTTCAGCAACGCAATTTTTACTTCCTGGACTGCAGGAAGGGTGCCCTCAGTAGCCATCTTGCCACAAGAGTATAATGTACAAACAAAAACACACAGATTTATCCCTTACACATTTGGGGTTATCCTTACTGCTGTGTCTGATCTCCGTTGACTGGAGCCAGACCTCACAATCTAAACTAAAACCCAATTGGCTAGCAACTTAAAACTTTTCTAAAGAGGTAAAAGCAATGGAGAGCTGGGACGTGCCTGTGAGCACATCCAGCACAGATATCTTGGTGAAAGTACAAGGACACAGAATGTACTACATGCCTGCAAGCATGGCATGTCTAACAGCTACATAGGATAGGGCTTAACAGAGTTCTTAGCACACTTATTTTTAAAAAAGAAAGGAAACTTTAAAAAGGAAATTTTCTACTTTCCATAAATAATTAATTACTGAATAAAATATTCAGTAAATATTCTCATCCCCATTATTACCACTAGCTGATCTTCCCTTACCATTTCTCAGTCTAGATTTCCTCATTGGCAAAATGGGTCGTGATGATGCAAATGCATGAGATCCGTTCCTCTGACAATTGTTTGAGTGGATACACTGTGCTGGGCACTGTTTAAGGTGCTGAGAATTCAGAACTGAGCACTTAAGAAGAAAAACACATGGAGGTTAGATTTTGGATGGGTAGTAGGGGCACACAGAGGCATTCAGGACAGATTTGAAACAAACAACTAACTAAACAAAAATAATAGAAAGCGCATTGCCCCAAATAAATGCTAAGTAAATAGTAGTTACATTCTCTTTAGCCACGCAGGAGGGGGTAGGGTTGGGTAGGGACAGAAAAAAAAGGAAGCCTGTCTTAGCCAGGACTCCCCGGCTCTGTGACATCAGCCAGGCTGGGACTTCCCTGACGATTTCCACACTGTATTTTTGGTCCAGGACTTGTGTTTGGCTCTTCTGTGTGGAAAGGTGTGTGTGTGGGGTGTGTGTGGCGGGGAGGTGGGAGGGCAGCTGCAAATCGTGAAACCGCTAAGAGAAAGTAGATCACAGGCTGGAGATTGTCCTGGCTTCTTCACGTATATGTGTATATATACACACATGAAGAAGGCCAGGACTATGTGTATGTGTATATATGTCAGGAGTAGGAGAGGGCCCAGCAGGTCCCAATCCCTCAGCCAGTAACAATGGAATATATCATAATTCTCACTCATCTTGAGAGGCTAGAAATACATTCATCTTGACTTAAAAAGAAAAATTGTCCAGTCCCTTGGGCTGCAAAAATAATCGTCCCTGACACTAAATTGTAGTGGTAGTGGCCATATGTAGTGGAGAACTGGGGGATTTGCCTAATTCATTTAAAAAAATAATTCTCTGCTGTCATCTAGAACTGGAAGAATCAATATTTTCAGTCCATCTTTTTGGCTGAAGAAGTTTTTCTGCTGCATTCTACCTTTTGCAGTCAGGATGAATGACTCTTCATTCCATCCCCACTATTCAGTCCCTTTCTTGAAGAAACCTTTGTTCAAGAACTCCTAAATACGCAGCTCTAATTCCAGGCATCCTCACATGCCAGGGAGAGCGCGCCTTCCAGCCTCCCGCTCAGTGAGGCGCGGATCCGGGGCCAAACCCTCCAGGGCTGCGCTGCAGACAGCGACGGCCAGAGGCGGATACAGTCGGGTTTAGGGACCGCAGGAGCGAATTCCCGGAGGCCTGCAGGAGCCGCCCCGCGCCGCGTCCAGCCTTTCTCTCTGGGCCTAGCGGGTCTCCCCCAGGCGCGCCCCTCCCTCCCCACAGGCGCACTTTCTCCACCTGCATCTGGGGCGAGGCGCGGCTGGGAGCGAAGCACAAGTGGGCTGGGCGAGGTTTGGGGTTCGAGGATTGCAGAGTGACCGCGGGGTCTGGGGAAGAGTTGTCTTGGTGGCGCCACCAGAGCCCGACCCGCCGCGGCCGGGACCCTGCAGGGCAGGTAGCGACCTGCGGAGAAGCCGCCTGGCGCGGCCGACTCGGCTGCCGGGGCGTGGGCCTGGGCCGGGCGCAGGAGCAGCGGGGATGCTGGGTGCGCTCCGAGGGTGCGGCCTCCCGGCTGTGCGGGGCTCAGAGCCGGGTGCTGGGCGCGGGGCCTGGCAAAGGTAAGGCAGGAATGGGCGTCTTTCTCGCGGGACGCTGGGTCGGAGGGAGCTTGAACTTGAGGTTGCTGGGGAATCCAGAAAGGACGCCAGTGCCACCGGGAGCGCCTGCCTTGGCGCGTGGAGCTGCTCCTCCCTCAATGGGGGACCCTGCTGGTAGCCAGGTAGGAAATGGGGGGCAAATGCGGCCATCCTGAGATCTTCGGATCCCCAACCTGTAACCACCTGCAGCATTGGAATTGGGCCAGATGCTGTAGGGAGGTGAGAGGCAGAACGGCTGAGGCATCATGTTTATTGCCCCCGACTCCAAACAGACACATCGTGGCACCGAGGATCCAGAAGTGGGGTCCAGTTATGTGCATCTCCTTTGCCCAAAGCATAGGGTCACATCTCGACTCTACTCTCAGTTTGTCAAACCGGGACTGGGGTGCCCAGGCAAAGGGTCTGGCTTTCTGTGCGTCTTCCCTCCAACTAAGGAGGAACGCACGTCCACAACGCAGCCCACTGCAAACCTCAGCTTGGCAGAAATCTGCAGCTCCTCCTACGCACCAAATTCAGTTCAGTGTGATTTGGAGGTTGCGGGCAGAGACAGGAGCTGAGACCCTGGTGTTTGGGGGCGTTGGGTGAGTCTCCGGAACCTACCTGGACTTCCCAGGAGTCCTGTCATCTCCACAAGGGAGTGCACGGCCTCTTGGAGAGGAGGGAATTTAATGGGCAAGGTAGGCACCATGTATAGTCCCTGGAGAGTTTACTACGAGACCAGCTGGCATGATGACTATTGCCATTTTTATGATGTGCACGTGGGGTCTGGTGGCAGTGAAGACTAGGCAGGGAGCGTGGGACAGGCAGTTATTTGGGAACAGCTGGCACCAGGGCCCTTTCACACCTGGGACGGGGGTGGTGGCCACAGGGCAGGCAAGGAAAGAGACCTCAGCTTGACCAGGAAGGGGGCAGAGCCTACAGCAACTGCTGAGGTCCTAGGAGGAAAGAGCTTGTCTTTTTCTTGCTGCCCAGTGGGTTATACTCACAGGGTTGGTTAGATGCACAGCCTCCCCTCACCTACTGCTTCTTGCTGCTGGGCTTCATTCAGGTGAGACTCCAGTCCCTTGGGCCTGCTAGTCAGTAAAAGCCAAATCTTCCTCAATGGAAATCATCTGCTCTTTCCTTCCACCCTCCTTCCTGAGACTCTTTAAGCGAGGCTGGAAACTCATTGGTAGAAACTTGCTGCCAATTGATGTTAAACAGTTGCATTTGCATTTCAGAAATCGTTCGACACAGCCGGAATCCCAGGAAAATCTACCTTTCTGGAGACTGCAGCTCCTGTGATAGCTCAACAGACTTCAGTTCCTCACAAATATTGCTCTCTACGGTTTCCCCCAAAACACTTCAGGAAATACAGTGTCCTGTCTTCACAAATGCTTCTGGTAAGCAGGGCTGTGATCATGGTGGTAGGGGGAATCTTTCTCTGGTTTCATTTGAATATATGTGTGTGCCTAGAGTGAACACATGCCTTTGATCTCAGTTGGTTTTCTTTTTTTTGAAATTAAGTGTTTAAAGCCATTCTTCTCTTGGTAAAATATTTTCTTCATACCTACCCTAAATCCACCTCCTACTCCCAATGCAAATATATATCCTTATTCAAAAAGACTGTACAGAAAAAAAACTGTACACATTTCAGAGATTTCAAGTCAGTCAGGGGTCCTGATGAGAGGAAGTCACTGAAGGATCAAAACAAATATGCGAAGCTCAATTTTCACACAGGAACAGAGTAAGGAAATGATCTTGAGTGAAAGTATTGCTGACTTAGCTCATGGGACTATATGTAACTTATGATCAAACATCAGTGATCCAGAAAGGTATGCAATAAAAAATGCAATTGTTTTTTTTCATTGCTCCCTGTTTCTAGCCTTGCTCTTAAAGGGGGACTATTTTAAGCTCTTCATTTTTAAAAAGCATTTTTATCCTTATCTCCTTATAGGGCTCTTTATTCATGTGGCCAATACTTGACTGGCCTATGACCATCCTCCCTTCTTCTCATCTGTAGAATCCAGCTTTTGTTTGTTGTGTAGTGTACCTAGCTTTTTTTTTTTTAAAAAAAACTACATTTCCCAGTGACCTTTGTATGGTCATGTGATAGCCATTTGTCCAATAAGATACAAGTGAAAGTTAAAGGACGGGGCTTCTGCAGAAGCCTAGTGTCCCGGATGGAATCCAAGATGGTGGGACAGCAAATGTCTGCACTGCTGGAATGGCCACCTCTCAGTGTCACAGCTTGTGAGAAGGCCTCGACTTCCAGCTGGGTTCTCACTAGTTATAGTGCAAACTTGTGTGAACAGCTGAGGCAACTTCTGTGTTCTTGGTCTTTCAGCTTCCTTCATTAACAAAAAGTTTCCTTAGTTGGGTGTGGTGGCACATGCCTGTTGCCCCAGCTACTTGAGAGGCTGAGGTGGGAAGATGGCTGGAGTCCTGAAGTTTGAGGCTGCAGTGAGCTGAGATCATGCCACAGCACTCCAGCCTGGGCGCCAGAAATAAAGAAAAGAAAAACAATTTATAAAACGTTTCCTTTTCAGAGCATGTTCCCTCGATTCCCTGTGGATCGATGGGGATCTTGGAATTAATTTTTGTGACCAAGCTGGGATGGACTTTGCCCAGAGCCTTAGTCTGCTCAGACTTTAATGGATCCCAGCTCTGTGGCCCCAGGGGTAAGAGGCCTCAGTGGACAGAGACTGGATTGCTGGACAGATTTACTCAAGAATGGGGAGGGAGCGTAAGAGTTTAAAGCAGAAATGTGTGGGCCTGGAGTCCCGGATGCTCACAAAAAGGAAACTGTGATAGAGAAGAGGAGGGAGAAAGCCACTCAAATACGTTCTAACACATGCAAATCGTGATTCATGCAAATGTTGCTCCTGTATAACATGCTGGCCTTCGACGAGGCTAACCAACCACGGAGACTTATTTCCTGGCTGATCACAGAAAAATATGATATTTCTAATGAAATATAGTTGGAATCTCTCTACCTGATTTGTAAGCTGCAGGTTGGCCTAACTCAGCTTCCAAGGAACACACTCATAATACTTTCTTCATGGTTTTCCTTCCTTCCTTTCCTGTCATATTTAATGACAAAACACGAAGTCAGAGTACACCAAGAGTTTTGTCACTATGAACCTATCTACCTGTTACCTGTCAAAACATCAGGGAAGAAATCACTTTTTCTCTGAAAGAAACCAGGATTTTATGAGAAACTAAAGTTCAGAATATAGAGTTGTTATTTATATTAAATGGCTGCAGATAATAAATGCTAGCTATGTTCTTGGGCTTTTTTTTCTCTTTTGAAAAATAAAAGTTGTATATCTGAGATGCATGTCAATTTTAAGCTTTTTAGGGCAAACAAGCAAGCTTATTTTTCAATAGGAAGCCAAAAGTCCACATCACAAGATAAAAGACATAGTCTTCCTGAGTCCACATCATAAGAGACACAGTCTTCTTTTGAGCTGAGCTAAAATGCAGATTCTGCTCTGCATTGTGCAAAGAAAGTGGGACAATCGTGGCACCATGGAAAAATTTCTGTTTTTCAGAGATACCAGAAAGGTATGAAGAACTGCCTGGAACTGTGTGTTGAGGAACTAGAGCTCCTGTGCAGATGATTCATTGTACCCATAAGGGTTGCTTGGAGATGTCGGTGGACCAGTCAGAATGGAGTCTTGAAGGCTTTATTCTAGACAACCACATTGTCACTTTGGTGTCAGTAATGTTAGGATGGACAATGCCATCCAGCTAGGAAAAGAGAGCCTGGATAAAACGATGTGTGAACCTTGCAGGGAAGAGGTGCCATTGGGCTTCATGAAGACCAAGAAAGTTCTCAGCTTGGTGAACTGTGTTTGGAGATAATGTTGTTATAAGAACAACTATCCAACGCAGCCAGACATGAAGATGTGGTAGTCAGTGCCCACATAACAATTGCCAGCGTTTCATCATTAATTCATCCATCCTGAGGAAATTTTCCTGTGTCAGCCAGTGGTGGGAGGCATGAAGAGGGCAAGAGTGCTCAGTGTTGGAGAGATGTATATTCAAAATCAGAAAGAAAATTAAGTTTCTGAATTCAGGGAGGCTTTGTCTTAATACTGAAGACCAACTTATGTGCATGTCCATATACTCACTCTACCTTGTGGACTGAAAGGAAGAGAGGGCAGCAATTATACCAATAAAAAGAGAAGACTTTTATTGACTGTGTGTTATCAGTGCAGGAGAAAAAAAATGTCATTTTCCTTTATAGAAACGCAAATACTAGCGGAATGGTAAAATGTCTGCAGAGAGTGGAAAAGGTATTTTTATATCCCATTTATTATTTTTTTTAAAAAGCTGGCAATAACCCATTTTATTTGTTGAGATGCAGTGTTAGCAACTTAAGACCTGGGAAAATCTCACTTAATAGAGCAGGGCAGCAGTGGCATCCTCATAGAAAACTGTCAGGGAGAGAACTATTCACCAGAGGTATATTGTGTCTTAATTAAAAAAATCAAGTAGGATTTTTCAATGTATTGAGCCACTGGACATTCAAAGGCAGCAAAAACAAACAAACAAAGACGAATGCTGACCTAAATGTCACACTGTGTACAAAAATTAACTCAGAATGTATCATTGTATAAAGCAATATAATTTTAAAAGGAAATGCAGAAAATCTTTGGGACCTAAGACTTGGTGAACATTTATTAAACATGACATTGAAGCAGGATTCACAAAAGAAGAAGAAATACATTGGACTCCATCAAATATAAAAATGTTTGCTCTATGTAAGGAACCATTAAGAAGATGAAAAAACAGGCTGGGCGCGGTGGCTCATGCCTGTAATCTCAGCCCTTTGGGAGGCCGAGGCTGGTAGGTCACGAGGTCAAGAGATCAAGACCATCCTGCCCAACATGGTGAAACTCCATCTCTACAAAAATAGAGAAATTATCTGGGCATGGTGGTGCACACCTATAGTCCCAGCTGAGGAGGAGGGAGGTAGGAGAATTGCTTTAACCCAGGAGGCGGAGGTTGCGATGAGCCGAGATCGCGCCACTCCACTCCAGCCTGGGGACAGAGTGAGACTCTGTCTCACCAAAAAAAAAGGAAAAATAACCAATACACTGGGATAAAATATTAGCAAACCACATGTCTGAAAGTTGATGGTAAAAAGCCAGTGTAAGTAGAAAATGGGCAAAGTATAAGAAAAGACATTTTATTGAACAATATGGATGAAAAATAAGTATATAAAACTATGTTCAACATCGCACGCCATTAGTACAATCCAAATTAAGACCAATATGAGATGAAAAATAAAACATCTATTATAATAATGAAAAAATAAAATACCAAATGCTTGGTGAGAATGTTGGAAAACTGGATCTCTTGCACCTTGTTGGTGGAAATGTAAAATGCTATGGTCACTCTGGAAAATAGTTTGACGATTTCACAAAAATTTTAATGTGCTCACCACGCAAACCAGCAGTTGAACCCCTGGATATTTGTCACAGAGATAGTTTATATCTACACCAAAAAAAAAAAAAAAACTACCATGAATGTTCATAGCAGCTTTATTTATCACAGCCAAAATCTAAAAGCAAGTCCTTCAATAGGCCAATGGCTAAATCTCATGTGATACTACTCAGCAATGAAAAGAAATGGACTATGGACAGACACGGCAACTATATATCTCAAGGGCATCATGCTGAGTGGAAAAAAAGCCACTCCCAAAATGCCATACATGATTCCATGTATATACAATTTTTAAAATGACAAATTTGTGGAGCTGGGGAACAGAATCTACACGCAATAAAATGGCATAGCACAGTGTACAGACACTGTATCAATCCCAGTTTCCTGCCGTTGATACTATTCTATAGCTTTGTAAGATGTAACATCATGGGGGCCTCAGTAAAGGCACACAGACATCTTATTATTTTTTCAACTTCCTGCAAATCTATAGTTATGTCAAAACAAAAACTTAAAAGGATAAGCACCTTGCCACCCACACCGAATGGACTGCTGTCCTGCATGACTGCTCAGGCTGTGTCTTCTCAGAGAGGTTCTTACTCCCTGGCTGATCCCTGCTCTTGGTCTGCTCTTCTGTCATTGGTGGCTTCTCCCAAGGTGTTTACTAAATTTCTGATTGAATCAGTTGTCTCCACCAGCCCAAGGGCTTTTTGTGGCCAGGGGCTATGTCCTCTTCATTTTCACATTTTTAGTGTTTCGTCCTGGCCTGGTACAGCAAGGACTCTGCTACATATTGGGAATGAAGGACTAGGTTTTTTAGCCATCAATAACCCCAGTAAATCTTGTAGAAAATTGATCCCGTGTCTGGGGAGCTCATAGCATGGATACTTAAGGTTAATGGGATGATTTTGCGTGTGTGTGTGTGTGTATTGAGTGTCTCTTCATTGAATTT